TTATGGAAAAGCACATTCCACTGTAGCCTCACAAATAGATTTATTGAGGCCATATGTCTGTTGGCTCCTACTGTATTAGAGAATTCATACAGAACCATATAATAAAACAATGGAAAAAGGCTATTTAAAAATGGAGACTGCACACAAAAGTAGGAAAGAGATACTACTAACTGAAATCACTCCTTTTCTTTCAACTTTACGAAAATAAGTACTCACTAGCTGCAAGATATAAGGTGAAACAGGCCATCTCGTTCATCAGATCAAAACAATTCATTTTCAAAGAATTTAGCTGACCCTATAAACAGGTGACATTTAAGTAGGATATTCTGCTGCAAGAGAAAGTTTCCAAAAGGCTCCCTTGTCTACTCAAAAGACAGTTCCTGAACCCCCACACCACACTAATATTTCTCATCTCTGAAAATATTAAAGCATGCTCAAGAGTTAAACCAAAAGGAAATCCCCACTCTATGTATTATGCAAAGTACAGTGATAGACATCAGAACTATTAAGAGTGAACTGCTATAAAAGGATCATTTGTGAAAATATTCTTCCAAGAAAAAGGTAACTGCAACTGAAAGTAATGGAAAATAGGTTATATTAAGAATGTCGAGAGTAGGGCGCCTGGGTGGCTCAGTTGGTTAAGCGACTGCCTTCAGCTCAGGTCATGATCCTAGGGTCCTGGGATCGAGTCCCGCATTGGGCTCCCTGCTCTGCGGGGAGCCTGCTCCTCCCTCTCCCACTCCCCCTGCTTGTGTTCCTTCTCTCGCTGTGTCTCTCTCTGTCAAATAAATAAATAAAATCTTTAAAAAAAAAAAAAAATGTCGAGAGTAACCCCTATGTTGAATTTTGTGCTAGTTAATCAAACTGTGGTTATTTTTCTTCTGCCCATTAACAAAAAAAAAAAGTCTGATTTTCTAACTGCCCAAATACATGTACTATTTCCCAAAGGCAAGTGCTAGTGAATGACTGTGTCACTCGCCAGTCACAAAAAGGCTCCAAAAGGGCAGGTCTAATAGGAACTCTTCTCGGGGTAAGCTTTTTGTTAAGAGCAATTAAAATGAACCTTGGAAATGCATACTTAGCTGAGAACATACTGATAAAAAGAAAATATATGTGTGCCTCATTTTAACAAAATCCAGTTATTGGAAAAGATAAACCACAGTTTCTTAAAGCAGTTACATTCCAGTGTTGTTTCAACACTACCTACCTGGCAGACAGGTACAGAGAGAGAAAAAGAAGTTAAAATGTTGATCTCTGAATTAAGTAAGCTACCCTCCCCTACCCACCCCAAAGCTCCACCCTTCAGTTTTAAGGGACTCCTATAAATAGAATGATTAACTCCATAAATTTTTTTTTTTTTAAAGGAGGAAGGGGGAGGGAAACAAAGAGAAAGAGTGATGATATTTTAAGAACTGGAAAATAGGACCTATAGCAAAAAGTTAACAGTACAGAACACAGTTGCAAGGTAGCCTGAAAGTTTAAATCACAGAAAGAGTTAATCACTATACTATAAGTTCTGCTGCATCTACTCTGACCCCCAATTAATTTTTCAATTTAACTCAGGTGTTCATCAGTCTTTCATAGTTGACTGAGCCCTGGCTACCTTAGAGATCGCAATTCTTCATCATAGTAACTAGGCACAGAGATCAGAAACTACATTTCTACCCATCAAATGAGTCTCTGGAAGGGGTAAAAGACAAAGCTTCCTCTAAAGGTCCCTTACTAACTTCACTCCCTCCTGTTTCTCTTGGGTTTTACTGAATCTCGGTTAGTCAGCTTCAGGGAGAAGCACAAATACTGACCTTTTAATTTGGATTGATCCACAGGGAATAATAAAAATGAAACCTTCTTAGAAATCCTTTTTTTTTTTTTTTTACACAATTGACAATGGTATTCTCAAAGTGATATATGAGAGTAAAAACAACGTAACAAAAAAAAAGACTTTTAAACTCAACTTATAATAAGATTTTTCTCAAGGATGTTTTAGTTGTTCTGAGGCTATCTACAAAAAGAGTTACAGTCAGACACAAAACGGAGAGACTGAAATATTTAAACTGGAGAAGATTAAAGGTAAAACAGCCTTCAATATATAAAATACTCCTGTGCTGAAGAAAATGGGTTCTTCTGAGACACTATCAGTGAGCACAACTTTCCTACAATTCAAGACCATTAGCTTTAGAGCGTGAACCGAGTAAGGGTGGGAGCCGCAGGGAAGCAGTTCATGAGAGTGAAAAAGCTGGGGTTCTGCCATTGCCAGAATGGACACCAGGCTTCTGATCACCAGACGCCTCTGCACGTAAGCACGAACATTTTAGATATTAGAAGTAGAGGCCAGGTCATGTTAAACCAGGGAAATTAAACAGTCCATTAACTCCCCGCCCTCCCCACAAAACCCCAATAAAATGACAGTAAAAGAATAAATTAAGCAAAAAACTCAAAAGGCCAAAAAAAAAAAAAAAGGGGGGGGGGTAGGGGTTCACCTAAAAACAGAGGTCTGGTTGTAAGTCTTTTAAAAGGACCATTCAGACCCCTAGATACTTAACCTTTCTTTCAACTGCAGGTTTAGTCTCCACAGAAGCTGCCCAGGAGAGTCTGGTTCAAGAGCCCTTAAGGAGAGCAGAGGACAGCAGCGAGGCACTGGACAGAAAACAGAGGGCTCAACAAAACCCTGAATTAGCCACCCCTCGACAGAACCTGAAAGTCCCCCAGCACAAAGGAATAGCCCCAGAGGAAATGCTCTAGCCACTAGAATGGGGGATGGGTGCAGCTATTTCTAAAGCCTGCTTGCTAAGGGGTCACCCTAGAGGGAAACCCATAGCAGACAAGCTCCACCCATAATACACCAAGTCCCAGTCAGCTTTTCAGAATTTCACTTTTATGTATGGATGAAATTTGAGGAAAGATCCCATTAAGAAAGACAGAATTTAAAATAGTGGGGGGGAGGAGTGGGGGCCTCAAAACAATCCAGTAAGCATAAGAAAACCTCAACAACAAAAATTATAAATAATATCCTGAGAAAAATAACAGAGAATACTGCCTCCATAAAACAAGATCAAAAAATTAAGGTAACACTACAAAATAAAAGCGCAGGGGCACCTGGGTGGCTCAGTCGTTAAGTGTCTGCCTTCGGCTCAGGTCATAATCCCGGGGTCCTGGGATCGAGCCCCACATTGGGCTCCCTGCTCAGCGGGAAGCCTGCTTCTACCTCTCTCACTCCCCCTGCTTGTGTTCCTTCCCTATCTCTATCTAATAAATAAATAAATAAAATCTTTTAAAAAAAAAAGTGCAATGAACTGGACAAAAAAGGGCAATGTAGAATAATATCAGATGATCAAAAAAATGGAAAAAATAGGAAAAACAAAGAATCAGTCTGCATTTCAATATGCAACTGAGAGTATATGAAAAAGGACAGAACAAAGAGATAACACTGATAGGAAGGAAATTATCCAAATACTAGTATCACAAATGTTCTAGAACTGAAGAAAATGAAAAATGTCTAAATGGGTTGATAAATAGCCAATGCAACACCAGTGGGGGGGGGGAGCGGGGGGGAGCACAAAGACGCATCACAAAATTTCAGAACCCTGTGGATATCCATCCACATTCTGAAAGCCTCCCAAACATTTTTTTAAAGGGGAAAAGGCCTCACAGAAGAGATGAAGAATCAGAATGGCATCAGCCCTGTTGATGTCAACAGAAGCCAGAAAGCCATGGAGTAATCCCTTACAAATTCTAAAGGACGGTTATAACTTAGGATCTATATCTAGCTTTGACAATAACCAAAACAAGATAAATACACAAGATCTCAATGTTTACCTCCTAGGCACACTCCCTGAAGAAGCTACTACAGAAAATGTTCCACAGAGCAGGGAAAAACCCAAGCAGAAGAGGGGATCTAGGGAAGGAGAGAAGTGAAGGGATGTCTAGGGTGAAGGGAAGAGAAGGCCACAGAGGCCGCATGGCGGGATGACAGGGCTCCAGAGGGATGTCAAGGCCTTGAGGACGACGCAGTGCAAACTGGTACTGAGGAAGTCTTCTCAGCTTTTTTAGCACTGAAGACTTTGGGAAGGATAAATGAAAATTAAGGACATGGAAAATAAATGGTTAATTCCATACTGGAGAATGGGCAGGGATGGTGGCTGGAGAGGGCGAAGTTTCTTACCTACCGTAACAGGAAGTCAATGGACTGTTTTTAATAGCAGAACAGGCACTTCACTTAGAATGTAGGAGTAGATTCCAGGAAAACCAGCCCATGGAGGAAGGAGCAGCCTCCTCTGGGAGGGGGCACCGTGGAGTGGGGACTGCTGAATGCGTTACAAGCTTCACACCTTGTAACGGGACTCCCAGAGCAAGAGGAAACCCCCTCATCACTTTAACTATTTTCCTCAAATCAGACAAGAAATCCACCTCCTATGTTACAATTCCGTACTAGTGTTCAGTGACACACAGGTGTGTTCGATGGAACTTATTTTGTCACCTGTATGATCACCTCTCTATGTATAGCTTAAAACACTCATCATGGATCTACCTAACAGTACACAACAACACAGATCTGTGGTGCATGCTGATGATTCAGAAGAGAGCTGAAAATTCTAAAGAAAGTTCTTCCAAGGTTTTGGAAGATGATGTATAATTGCTAGAATTACTTCCACAAGGACTGCGGAATGTACCCTTTTCCTATATTTTGCACTTGTATATCTATGCTAGTGGGACACTGCCAGAAGTAAGTTGACAAATACTCTACAGACACACGGAGGCACTTGCAAAAGTTTACTATATCTGTACATTTGGGCCACTTATATTTAGACATTTAAAGGATTCTCAAAGAAGCAAGAAATCAGGGGCACCTGGGTGGCTCAGTTGGTTAAGCGACTGCCTTCGGCTCAGGTCATGATCCTGG